CACAAAGGGCAGATAATTTGACTTAAAGAGAAAAACTTATTGAGTCTCAGAAGTATCTACTTACAGAATGAAAAGCTAGGTAAAAAGGTTAAGCATCATGAACAGATGGGAGTTTCTACTTACAGGCCTGAAAGATTCCCAGCCTAAAATTTGCTATGAAGAGCTACTGCAAAGCAGCCTCCACCATGTCAGGGGTGAGGCACAGGAACAAATGCCCACCCAGGAGAGAACTAAGGTTTCCAGTATAGTCTCACATTCTAGAGAGGGACTTGCTCCAAAGCCCTGGGTGGGGGGGAGTACCCCAGTAGAGGCTAGCCCTCTGGGAGAAGAAAATATTTGCCCGTGATAACTCAGGAAGTAGCCTCCTTTTCCCCCTTTCATTCCTTTTGCTCATTCATTCATAGCTTTGGCTGAGTACCTAGTATGTACTGAGTGTTGTAGTACTCTTTAATATTAATAACATTAATTTCTCATCTAGCTCTTGGAAGAGTTGGGTATTTTATAGATAGTTCCATTCCCTTAAGCTAGTAATATTCTAATTTCTGAGGCCTGAGATTTAGGATACCATGGTGGTTTCTTCCATGTTCAGTATGGAGCCATATCCACAGGGTGAGATTATCTATTAGAGATGCAGAAGACAAGGGAAAAGGAATTTGGGGGAGCCACACACCTCATTTTTGGTGTACCTACGGTTCATCCGGCCTTTGGTTTTATGCATATTGAGCATAAGTGAGAGTCTTTTTTCTATAGCGGACTACCTAAACTATAAACAAGACAATAAACAATGTATAAATAAGAGTTACTGCACCAGAAGATGATATAACAGAAAAGAAAAAGAATAGAATAAAGTATTGAGTTTTATGATCCAATCCTGAGTCCATTAAGTAGTACTAGTCACATGTGATTGTTTACACTAAAATTCGGTTAAATTAAAATGCAATCTCTTTGTTGTGCTGGTTAGTGGTTGCCATAATGGAACATAGCTATTTGAAATATTTCCACTGTACATAGTTCTGCTAGACAGAGCTGTTTTTTTTTTTTTTTTTAACACAGGTGGAGATGTGGTTTGAGCAAAGAGCTCACTGCACAATGAGATTACATGTAATCGTGGATGACTGTGTGCGGGGAGTGCTAATGGAGCTATACGATTTAATTAAATAAAATAAGCATATGTTTATGGAAGTGGGCAACAGACTGACTTAAAGAGAGCAGATATATAAGCAAGCTCTCAGTGGGGCGAAGGATAAGACAGGTGTCTCTAATGGGATTAGATCCAAAGAAATGCTTAAGGGATGATTGTCAGGTTTTCTGAGTAATTTTTGGCTAAGCTATAACGGTCTCTTTTTCTATGACTATATTTGGATTCATACCTCACCCAATGAGGATGATAATTGTTATTCTTGTGTTAGCTGCTTCCGTTTCATGAGTGTTCCCACTAGGCCTGAAAAGATCACCTGGTCCCAACCCCATCCTGATGCACTCATAAAATGGGACCAAAGTACGCATCAGGCATATGTCCTGGAATCTCTGCTGTTAGCTGGGAAGGTAGTGAGACTGTGCTGGCCTCTGCCTGGCCTGATCTCTCACAAAGACCCTTGAGCTTATTGGGAAGAGACCTTGGCTTTCTGATTGGTCAAGAGTTTGAGAATGGGCTAGAGAGATAGCTTAGCAGTTAGAAACATGCGTGTATACACACACACACACACGCACACACACACACACAAACATGCACTGTTCTTGCAGAGGAGCTGAATTCAGTATTTAGTTCCTAGCACCCACATTGGATGGCTCACACCACCTGTAAATCCATCCAGCTTGAGGGAATCCAGTGCTTCTAAAGGCACTGGGACTTATGTGCACACGCACACACACACACACACACACACACACACACACATCTTTTTAGAATTTTAGAATGCCCTCTTAGGGAGCAGGGACCACGTTTTGATGAAGTGGTAGTACTATGTGCCTGGAGTAGCTTTGTACAATGTCTGACAAGCCCTTCACCTTCTTTCACCTGTTTTTTTTTTCCAGTCCACAAGCAAAGCAGATTAGATCCATGTTGCAAAACTACCCTTTTCTATGGTGACACACACTTTTTATTTTCTCAACTGTCCTTGCCATTTCTCTTTCTTAATCTGAGGCTTTTCGTTGGGTAGGGTTTGGACTATATACATATTCTTTGAAATGGACAAATTTTGTTTTCCTAACCAGGTAGATACTCCTCTGCTTTTATAATCAAGCAACACACAGGGGTAAATTGTGTTTTGCGGTAAACAGCCAGTATGTGTGTGGAATCTGGCGCATACTTCCCTGAGGCAAAACATATTTTCTGGTATATTCTGTTCAAATCTCACAATTCATCAGTTCACACCTTTCCCCAGGAAGCCGGAGCAGCGGCTGTTTGTTTGTTTAAATCCTGCAGACTCATGAGCTGGGAGGGAGGCTGGACAGTGTGAAAGAGTTTAATATGCATTTAGCTGAAATTAATGAAGAAGTCCACAGCTTGGAGGAAGGCAGTTTCGGTTAGTGTTGTTAAATATTAATGAGGTGCTTTTGCTCTTTGGGGCAGAGCAGCATGCTTGATGCACCTTTTTTAATTACTGCAGTGCCAACAGGTAGCAGAGCTGAACAGAACTGCTGAGGGTGCTTGCATTTTGCAAAGAGCCTTGAAAATATTTCTGTCTTCCCCAAGGCTGCATAAGAGAGGCATCCTCCCTTCCCGGATTCCCAATATTTTCTAGGGTCAGCAGGACCGGGCAACAGGTTCATCTTATAAAGCCATGGGGGTGTTTTCTAGAAGTAGTCTGTGTACACCACAGCCCAGTATTTCCGTGCATAAATAATGCTTGGGAAGTCAATGCTCAGTGGTGTGCTGACAATGTTTAACTCTGAGGGAACACACGCCGAATGCCGTGCATATTCCCACGGTGGCCGATTTCAACATTATCCCAATGAATGAAGAACTGAGAAGAGCTAGGCAGTCGCCCCCCCCCCCTTTTTACTGTATTCCTGCCAGACAGATATATGGATATAAAAGACCTTGACATTAATAACCTAATGACATTCTTAGGTAATTTAGCATATGTTGTATGTAGTAACATATACACAGCATGCTATAGCTATATAAAGCTAAAATGCAGTAAAGCAGTAGGAAATTATGTTTTGTGTATTTTTATTGACTTTTAAATATAATTTATGTGAATGAAGTATCACATAATTTAATTTTTAATAATTGCTTTAACAACCACTAATTACCTTACAAAATTCCCCGAGTTTTAAGAGCCAGATTCCATGGGCTGTTTCAAGCTCTACTAAGTCCAGATGAATTATGGGCCAGGGGCTCTCTACTAGGACTAGACACTTGTCAAAGGAGTCAACTGACAGAAATGTCTCTTTGCTTTCCTTCCTTCCAGCTTCATTGAAGCATGGTTGTATCAAAGCTGCTCTTGCATTCTGCCTTTCTGTTGATTGGCAGCTCTGCTCACATCCACTCCAGTCTTCTTTTGGGCCTTTGGATATACTTTCTGCAGTTAACCCTACAGTGTCAAGAAACCTCACTATCTTCTTACAGAAATGGACACAGTGCTATGGGGCAATTAGAGGGACTGTGTTTTAGTGTAACTATGAGGTTAATTCACTCTATAATATTTATTACAGATTATTTAATTAGTGAAAACAACATAGTTTCCGGCATATGGTAGCCCTGAAAAGTGTGTGCAGTAAACTAGGGATAGGTATATATAAGCTAAATATAAGAGAAGAGTTAAGAAGAAGCTGCAAAACATAGAAGGTTCAGTGATCCACGCCCAGGGCTTAACATACAAAAGGAAATAAAGTGGGCTAAAAGGTAGCTAGGAGTAGTCTGGGGTTACCACGTGGGTAGTAATGTACATGGCCTCACCCATCAATCAGTACTTCTTTATGCAGTGTTAAGTTTGGGGTGTGAGGTATAAGGACTAAAAAAGCAATTGAAGACAGATCTTGTCAGATTCGTCTGATGGGTCAAGGCATACAGTGAAATGAATACCCATCTTCCTTCCATTCCTGTCCTGCATTCACTCAGATCAGTCAGCAGTGTTTTCAAAGACTGTGGGAGCAGAACTAACACAGCGTGGAGAACCGCTTGCCTTTCTGTCCCATGCTTCCTCCACACTCAGCAGGGTGGTGTTCCGATGATGAGTTTGTGCTTTCTGGGCTTCAGGGGTTCTCTTTTGGTGATGAACGTGGAAGCATGGACTGAGAGAGTGTGTGCTCAGTGAGTTCTGGCTGGCCATAAGAGCACAATCCCCTCCACCCACTTTATTACTCCTGACATTCACACATCTAAGCGCCTCATACAACTCCAGAAGCATGCTATTCCTCAGATGCTGTGGCTGTGGTTCCGTAGAAGCACAAAAAAGAACTCCAGTTTTATTTTATTTTTAAGAAAATGTATATGTCTCCTAATATGTCAAATCAAGAGAAGTTTGAAATTCTTTTGACATACATATGCACACACACAGACACATACACACAGACACCTGAAAGCAACTGAATTTAAAGTAAAATATATATATATAAATTTTGTGAAATCAATTTCCAGACAGTACACATTGAATCATTACATAGAAATGTATCTTGACCTTTAAAGTCATCTCCCTGGTTGCCATTTACTTATTTAATTAATTCTGTGATTCAAAGTTTGATTTAAATGTATAGTGTCCCTCCCCTCTCACCTCCAAGCCATTGTACCTGTCACATATTTGAATTCATGTACTTTCTCATCTAGATTTTTTTGATAATCCATTTTTCTCTCTAGACTATAATTCTAAATGATGAGACCATTTCTGAAAACATTCTATTGTTTTAAGGCATGGACATTTACCCCAGTGGACTTAATGAAAACCATGAGCCATGACTCTGGGGAGGCAGTGGGACATGTGTACATTTGAGTCTGCCTTCGGGTGTTTTAATATTTGTACACAATTATCATTCTACCGTGTTTGTTTTCCTGACAGTGACTATGGCTATGAGAGACATGGGGAGAGCCAGTGTGTCCCAGCTTTCTGGTACAACCCAGCTTCCCCCTCAAAGGACTGCAGCCTTGGTCAAAGCTACCTTAATAGCACCGGGTAAGTCAAATGATTGAAGGAACTCAGGTCTCAAATATGAAATAAAATGGAGTATATCCTCGTTGAGGAAAATGAGTATAGAAAGGGTAATTTTGTGTCCAGAAGCTTCTGAAGAAAGCTGAAGAAATGTTTAGCCAAGGATAGCTTGTTTAGGAACCATCAGAAGAAATTATCAGGCAGGAAAGCCTCTGTAATTTATCCCTGGAGGATTATAGTCGTTGTTTACCTTTTGGGCCTCAACCGATATAAGTTGATCTAAGTAGTGTGTAACTATGACAGATGCTCCCTGGTGGGAGATCAGTGGGCATTCTCAAACAGTAACACTTGACACATCAGAGAAAAATTCACAAGTCTCATTCTAGATACTTCTGGAATAAGAAGACTAAGGGCATTTGTCTAATTGTTTGTTGTGCTCTGATCGTTCACTTAGGAGTTATCCTCAAACACTTGGTGAAGGATTTTCTGGACGTGTTTTGGTTTGCCCTTTTCTTACTGCTTCTATGACCCACAGAAGATCTGTAGAGTAGGCAGGTGGGACGGTGCCACGCTGCTCATGTTTTGATACATCTGTGCTTGTCTGCCTTGGGAGGTCTAGAGGGAAGCTGATGTCTTCATTTGTAGTAATCCTCCACTAGGGGTAGAGAGGATCTGCTGTTCCACACCACTCCCTGAAAGGCAAAGACACTGAGTGCTCTGGACTCTCACCTCTGCAAGTATTTCTTCCGCTATCTTAGCCAAGTTATCCAGCTTCTTTTACTTTGACTCTGTATGGTTGCAAAGAGTCATAGGTCCGATCTAAACAGCTGCCATCTATTAAGGAAACATAAACATGATGGGATGGGTGTGTTGAGTAGTCTGAAATACTCTAAAGCTGTGAAGTTTCTGGTAAATATTTGATTCTGAGGGAGTTTATCCCCATGCCACATTGGACATCTTAGTCCTTTAATGTAGAGGTTTTGTAGGAATGTGTTCTAAAGATTTAAGTCATTCAATGCAAATTGAGCAATTTCAGCTTAAGGAGATATACCATCAGAGAGCAAGAAAAACAACCTAATGGTCACATGGAATCATCTGCAAAAGCCAGCTTCTAGCCTTGAAATCTTTTAGAAATCTTTAGAAGTGATTTCTCTTAGGACATCTCATGTAATGGTAGCACAAATATATCTAGTTCTAATTTTAAGCAACATATATATACCAAAATAGCAAATAACTAAATAAGTCAGGGAGATGAAAAATCTATTTACACCCCCACAAAGAATTTCCCATAGAATATATAGACACCTCCAATTTTCTTAAGTTTGTATTTAAGTCTATATTATACATTATCAACATGCTTAACATGGTAGCAAGCTAATAAAGGAAGCAGTTAACATAAAGTGTGCCTTCTGATACAAGTATGATGTTGATCTTGAGTAAAAACTAGATATCTTCTAAGTAAAGGTAACCCAGAAAGATTAACTTAGAATAATTTAATTTAACTAAATCAGTGATAATCTAAAGGACTACAGCATGATTCATATTTATAATTATAATGTCTCATGTTTAAAACAATTAAAAGGTAAAAATGATTTTGTTTGATGTTGCATGTCATTTCAGTATGCTATGCTAACTACATTTCTAACCTTTGATAGCCATTTGTGGATACCAGCTGCCATGTTGGATCGTAAAGATACAGATATAGCTCAGCTGACAGTTGATAATGATGGTTTATAATTTCATTTGTGCCAAGAGATACCTACACAATTTGGCTTGCATCACTTGGGATCTCTGGAAGAAGGTGTTGATAGGGTGGGAGATTCAAAATTGGGAGGGGTATTAAGGAGGAAAAGTCGATATAACGAAGGACCAGCATCATTAGAGTTTTGTGAATTTGGGTTTTTCAGAATAAGACACTATAGATGAATGAATTAATCTTAATACAGAAGACTTGATAGCGATGGTGTTGCTGGTGGTGGTGGTGGTGGTGGCAGCAGTGGTGGTGGTGCGATATTTATCTCGTGGTTTTCTTAAAGCACCAGTTTTAGGAATGAGAACTAGATTGTGAACTGCCTGGAAATAATAACTCTGTGACTGATAAAGTTGCAGTCAAGCTCTTGGGTCAGAGGTCAAGGCAATTGATGTGACATCATTTTATATATATATATATATATATATATATATATATATATATATATATATATATATATATATAGCTGTTGCCGTAGACGTTGGTAGTGTTTTGTAGGGAGGTTTTGCAGGCTAACCCCTTTTGTAAAGTAATCTTACTTTAGCAGAGTTGAATAGAGTTTCAAACCTGTGCTTTTAATGTGACGTTTGTGTTGAGGAGGAAATAAGGATTTAGCAAATGGAGAAAATGTGTTATAAAATAGCTCAGTGGCTCCAGAGTAAAAGTTACCATTGTGATTTCTTTTAATTTTATTATATGTTCCACTAATAATAGCCTAAGATGGAGAAGAGATAGGGAAACAGCATTTGGTTATAGGGACTTAGAAGTTTGGTGTTCTATCTGCTTCTCGGTATAGAGAAAGTTGTAGGGAGCCTTGGGGGAATAGAACAGGCCTCTAGCTGACAGAGGTGTGCTTGCTTTCCCTGCTTCACTAGCCCAGTGCCCACCTCCCCTTCTACTGTGTAGGAGCCAGCATTGATTTTTCTTGGCTGGTTTAGACACTGAGCCGATCCCTGGTGCCCTAGGTGGGATCAATACTAATGTTTAAAGAGCTAGCCTTCTTGAGACAGAGGGATAGCAGCTCGTGAGGATTGTTTGTCTTGGGGAATAGCTGTAGTTTGGGAGACTTGGCTTTTAAGAGCAACTGTGAGAAGTTCTTTTTGCTTACTTCTTTTCTCTTGCCCTCCCTTATACATACGTGCACAGGCATGCGTGCACACACACTCCAAGGTGCAGCACTGTCAAAACTGTCTTTTGTCAACTCTCTTTAGGTATTAGAGGCTTGTGTTCACATACATACATACATACACACACAAACACACACACATACACACACACACTCCAAGGTGCAGCACTGTCAAAACTGTCTTTTGTCGACTCTCTTTAGGTATTAGAGGCTTGTGTTCACATACATACATACATACACACACAAACACACACACACACTCTCCAAGGTGCAACACTGTCAAAACTGCCTTTTGTCAACTCTATTTAGGTATTAGAGGCTTGTGTTCACAATCATACATACATACATACATACATACATACATACATATACACACAAACACACACACTCCAAGGTGCAGCATTGTCAAAACTGTCTTTTGTCAACTCTCTTTAGGTACCGGAGGATTGTGTCCAACAACTGCACAGATGGGTTAAGGGATAAGTACTCTGCAAAGACTCAACTGTGTCCGGGAAAAGCTCCTCGGGGTCTCCACGTGGTAACCACTGATGGGCGCCTGGTGGCAGAGCAGGGCCATAATGCCACCTTCATCATTCTGATGGAAGAGGTAGGTGACCACTTGGGTGTCTGCAGTCAGAACCCACAGCAGTAATGACAAAAGTGAGAGAAAAAGAAGAGAAAGGAAGCAGAACCTACTCACAAACCCCCTCCAGTCATCTATAATAAAGACCCAGTTCACGGAGCTTCTACGTTAGTTACTTGCTTGCTCATTCTCCACTCCCTCCTTCCTTCTCTCTTCTTTCTCTCTTCCCCTCCCTCCCACGTCCTCTATGCTCGGAATTGAACTCAGGATCTTAACTGAACTGTAGCAACAGCCCTTAGGTTGTTTGAGACACTCTCACCTTGATTCTTTTGACATAGTGACTCACCACATAGCTCAGAGCAGACTTGAACTCACGGTGTTTCCCATGTTCATTCCAATTTGTGTTTCACATGCTTTCACCTCCTGAACACTGGGATTGCATTATTACCTACCTGGATATATTCCTATCACGATAAGGACATAACCTCTAAACTATGAGGGGGAGAAAAATGGAAGAAAATTCAAATTATAGCCATCAACTTTCAGAGTCTCTCTTGCTTCATTCTAACCCTTAGGTTCACTAATTAGAAGAGCCCACAAGCCTTTAAAAGTCTTGAACATGTGAATGAGAGAATGGGAAAATGATTGAAATGGTGTTGAAAGTTAGGTTTATAGCGAACACAGCACTGGTTGCTTCTACATCAGCTACTGACTTCATTAGCTCATCGCTTGTGTCTTTTGCAATCCAGACAGTAAAATCTGAGTGTATGCTGGCACTCCAGTCTACTTATCTGCTTCTTGCTCCCTATGTGAGATGTTCCTTCTGCCCAAATCAGGGACTTTGCTAGCACTCTCTGCTGGAAGACTTGCCTGATTGACAATGCCCTCTAAATTTATATGCAAATTGCTTGGGGCTCTTGAGATCTTCTACAGGAGAGCAAAGCAAGCCAGGAGATTTTTCTCACTAGTCTGAGCACTTCAGAGCCTTTAAAGTCCAAACCACACTGCGATGGAAGGTGCCGGCTTCTTATCCTGACCTGGCAGACTCCTCATCCTTCACTCACGTAGCTGCTTGAATTAGAGGACTGTGAGATTCAGAGGAGGTCATTATCACAGTTCCACTAGAGAGTTTTCGGGACCAGAGCTATAAAAACTTTCTCAGACGGATGTGAAGAGCCACGATCTTATCCATTTCAATTGCCTCCAGTTCATTTCCACTTTAATTTACATTTATAAACTCAAAGGTAGTTGACATTGTGTGAGGGTCAAGAGAGCATCCGTCAGGATGTTTTGAGCATCTATGTTGCCATGGTGGGAGAGGTTCTAAGTGAGAAACGTGACCAGTGCACAGTCCTGAGGCAGAGGTTTTGGCTTTTGCGTTAGACAGAGTTTTTTGTTTTGTTTTGTTTTGTTTTGTTTTTGTTTTTTTCTACTAGAGGAAAGAATTTTCGGTCACAGATTCAGGAAATTCAGTCCATGGTCTCTGGTTGCCATGTTCAGGTTGAGGAGTCTAGTTGGAAGAGCTTCTTTGGTCATGGTGAAAAAGAGAGAATAGAAGAGAAAGCAGAAGAGATAGCATAGAGAAAGAGAGCAAGAGTGAGCAAGCAAGCATGAGTGAAAATGAGTGAGCTAGAGACAGACAGACAGAAGCAGACGGAGAAAGAGACAGAGAGACATTGAGAGAAAGAGACAGAGAGATTTACGTCCAACTTCCTAAAGTTTTAAACATAGCACAATGTCATGTCTAACTAGGCACCAACCCCTAACATACGCTATTTCCTGGGCATCACTTCATATCCAAACCTCATCAGTTAATAACTCCAGAATATAATTCTCTCTTTGTTCCATCTCAATCTATAAGCAGATTTTTTAACCTTCTTCATTCTATATCTTTATTTTGTGGTCTATATTATGCATTTACTCAAAGTATTGATCTAGTATGAGGTGTTTAGTAAAGATGGGTTCAGTATTTCTTTTGAGAGGCTAACAGTCAACTTGAAGGAATAAAGCACCCACCTGAGCCACTGATATCATGTCAGAGGCAGTGTCCAAGGTGTGCTTGGACTTCCCAGAGGCAGAGACATCTGTGGGCTGACACACTTAGCAGAAGCCTTGGGAGAGAGGGTGGCTTAGACAGGTTTCAGGAAACCCTAGGCAAGAAAACAGAAGTAATTTATATATTATGCAATATTCATCTCTAGAATGTAATGATCTACCTACTTTTGTTATTTTTAATATGGTGTTTAATACATGTTAAGTGACTAGCATAGATCTTAAATTAAATAACTAAAATTAAGAATAAGAGTAATGGATACTATGGCATGATAATTAAAGAAATTAGTGTTTGAAATAAGCTATCAGGACACGAAACTTGGTTTTTCCTGCTGTTAGTTGTGTGGCTTTAATGTCGATAGTATTTTCACCTCCACTATAAAAGTGAGGATGGTAATACTTTCTACTGCTGTTAGAAAGTAATACTTCCTATTACTCAAACATACTTACTTCCCTCTGGATGTTCATACATACATATGATCACACAAAGAAATGGGCTCAAAGCTTTCTATAACATAAAGTTGAGGGGACTAACTGCTTGGCTTGTTATGAAGGTATGTAACAGTGCTGGCTATTACCTTATTGTTATTATTATCATGACACAGAAAAGAATGTTCATGAGGAGTCTGGAGTACTTGGTCTTTCCATATCAGAACATTGGATGCCCTCTTCCTATCTACTACTATTGCCAGAGTCCTACCAAATCAAGCAGCCCCAAGGTTGGACATGCAGGTTTTCAGCCCTTGCCCACAGCTCTTCATGAATATTAGTTTATAGTAAGGAGGCATCACTATAGGTTGTCAGGATTGAAATGTTGAAGCTGTGAAAACTGGTATCAGATAAAAGTCAAGCAGAACCTATGAAGGGAACCAGACCAATTTCTGTTTGCCTGCAGGGTGACCTCCAAAGGACCAACATCCAGCTTGACTTTGGGGATGGAATTGCTGTGTCCTATGCCAACTTCAGCCCCATTGAGGATGGCATCAAGCATGTGTATAAGAGTGCGGGCATCTTCCAGGTGACAGCGTATGCAGAGAACAACCTTGGTTCTGATACAGCCGTCCTCTTCCTACATGTAGTTTGTAAGTAGCAATGAGCAGCTCTCCTGCCCTTCCGCCACTCCCTTTTCAACCAGTTGGCAGCTCCATCTGCCCAGATTTTACTTTCTAGAGTTTCAGAGCTGAAGCCAGGTTCATTGTGGCTCCTAAAATCATCCAAGTTAAAACACTGAAATGCACATCCAGCTATAATTTAATTTCACGGTGCTGAAGTAGATTGCATATTTTAAATGTATGGGCAACATTACTGAGGTTCTTTACTTTGTAGCGCCATTCTGATAGGTTGGTGCACATGCATACTCTTATGTAGATAAAATGTCTTCTCCTTTTGTTTTAGAGATTCCTGAAAAGTAAATAAATATGGAAGCCCATCCAGATTATGGTCCTAGCTTCATTTGGCACACTATGAGTAAAAAATGCAGATATCAAACTAGATGTTCGGCTCTGTTGGAAGAGCCAAAGGAGCATCTGAAAAGAATTGAATATGATTTAAAAATAATGATTTTCATACATCCAAGGTTATTTCATGTCCATTGTATTATAAATACAATTTTGTGTTGTGCTATAGTTGGCTTCAATGACACTGGCTGCTGTTGGGTTGAAACAGCATTAAGGATTCTGGGATATTTGTTTGTGCTGACTGCTTTTTGTGTGTTATTGAAACTTGAATGAAACATAAGCAATGTTGTTTCTAGATTGTGGACTCAGGGTATGTTTGATATGGGCTGACACGAATTCACCACACCTCATCAGAAATACTTAGGGGTTTAAAGACTTCTCTAGTCTTTGTTTTAGAAGGAGCCTTTCCCATATCCATGAAGAAAGTATTCCAAAATATTTCATCATGATACTCAGAGCAGATGGCAGTTGAAAACCTAGGATTTTTATTTACTTCTGTATGTTCCTTATAAAACTTTCAGGCTATAATTGGCTCTGGGTAACTGAAATTGTGCCAAGTGAAAATGGATCAGCAGGGACCACTGTGTATCCCATAATGTCTTTCTAGTAATATGTCACATAAAATAAAAATTATATGTTTGAAAGAGTTGAAGTGAATAAAAGAAACCCATTCCTTTTAATGATCCAGTGATTGTATAAACTCTTGTATGTGAATAGCACATTCCTAAAGGGCTCGTGGCCAGCAGTGAGCTATTTTACCTTCTAGTGAAAAGTATAGCAGTAATACATAATAAAAATGTATAGGAAGCAACCTGGACTACAGATCAGTTATATCTCTACCATGCCAATCTGTAATACATACCTCTAGCTTAATTCCAATTTTGAAATGGCTTAAGTCGAAGCACTGCCTGGCCTCACAGGGTTTGGGGACCAATAGAAATGAACTACACAAGGCATGCCTAACCACTCACTAGGTCATTTAGGAAATAGCTATTGAGTTCTTATTGTGTGTAAGGGACTCTACTGGGCACTTAGAGTCATCAGTACAAATATGATGCTGCCCTTGTGTTATTTTCATCCTATTGAAGAAGAGCTATTTTTAAAAAATGAGTCATAAATAGATACAGTGATGAAGATCCATATATACCCAACGCAGTCTCTCTCTTCCAGCAGCACCAGACTAGGAGCCCATATGAGTGGTACACACCCTTCTTCTTGGGCTTTAGACTGTTTGAACCCTGATCATAATCCTTTTGACTGTCCTGTGTAGTCAACATACCTAGCCCTTACAAAATTTGAATTCTTCATCTTATCCCTTAGATTAAAAGAAATCTAAAAGTCAAAGTGGGAATCAAAGTAGATGATGTATATGCTAGGGGTACCCAAGACCACTCCTAGGCATGGCAAGTCACTAGGCAGAAACATAGAGGTTAGTACATCATCCTTGGCTATATTTTGTTCCAGAGAAGACAGTCAAAGAAAGCTCAGCAAAGGAAAAGGCTTGAGCTAGGGAGATGGGTCAGTCAGTAAAGTTTGCCTGCTGGGCAAAAATTGGGATCTGAGTTTGGATTCCCAGAACCCTCATAATGCCTATGGTTATGGTAAACATCTGAATCTTAGCACTTGGTGGTGGGGTCACACAAAGACTGGTGTATCTATGGGACTGTTTGGCAAGTCTGCTTAGCCAAATCAATCAGTGGCAAGTTCAGGAAGGAGTCCTGACTCAAGGAGAAAAAGGAGAACACTTCTGATGTCAAACTCTAGGTTTCCTGAACATGTACACACATAAAAGCATGTACACATGCACACACATACAAAAGCATATATAAGCCACACACACACACACACACACACACACGACACGCTAATTGCTTTAGCAAAAAGTGGTGACATGTGGGTGGCCTTCTACCAGAGAAACTTGCTAAAGATTTGGAGTCCAAAATTTGTGATTGTCATAGAGTCACTATCTGTCTGATATAAGCCAAAATTCCAAGCTCTTAGTAGAAAGCAGATATTATGAATAAACCATATTGTTTTCAAGGGAACAACTCTTACCAGGTAATTATTCTATTCTTAAAGCCAAGTTCCTTTTGTGAAGGTGGGAAATTTCAGGAAAATGTTATCATATATGTTCACAGTATGGAGAACACTCCTCCACACCTGCCTTGACACATGATAAACAGTACAGGTTGTCACAGTAATTACTAGCACTTCCTCTTGACTTTCTGCCTGATACTTGTACTGCAATTTAAAAATGAAGACAAAGAAAAAAATAACTTCACATTCCTCTGTTCCAGGCACTTAGACCACACATGTTACTGATGCAGCCAAGAGTGGGGCTTTGTCTACAGGTTGAAAGAACAATATATCCTAGTATACACACACACACACACACACACACACACACACCACAGAAAGAGAGAGGGAGGGATATGCCAGGAATGGGTTTATACTGTGGGTTATGTGCACGAAAGAGGAAATGTTCCTTGAAACTTTTATTGTCCTCATAATTCCCTCCAAATCAATCATGGCTGCATTTCCCAGACAGTTAATACAGTGGAAACTGCTCTTGGCCTCACCTTGGGCCATTAACTAACAAAAGAAGTTGTTAGCCACCCATAATAACCAATTTCACACAGATTATTGGACTTTCATCAAAAGCAGAAGAACTGTGTGACAGGAGGTCTTCTTTCCCATTCATTCAGCTCTTCTCACCGTTCTGTAATCTGTTCCCACCTTAAAGCCAAGATCTGGCTCAGGATCCTTGTAGTAAAATCTGTTCTTAGTTATTGTTTGCAGTGATTAGTTTAGGTCAAACATGCTTGGCCTGAAACTGGAATAAACGGGACCATGTTAGCCACAGAAACTATACCCAGTTTATGTCTGACATAATCTTAGGAAGAAGAAAGTCATTTTGTTGCCTTTGGGTGTCAGGGAGCCCTCAGGAGAAGAGAAGGGGTTTCCAGGATTACGGTCATGTGCAGTTTAGACAAACTGTTAAATGCCTAAGGGTCTCATGAGGCAGCTTGGGAAGAGCTTCATGCCATTTGGGGAATGGAATGAGAATAGGAACATTGGCTTCTAGGACGAATGGAAGACCTAAGACTCTGCAGTGTTGAGCAGATCACCAGAATTCTCCTCTCCCTCCTAGGCTAGCCTCCTCCTTGTCTGACATCCCTCACTGGCCAGAAGAACACAAATCATTGAGAGATTTTCTTTACCTTAACCATTAAATATGAGTAAGAAGTTGCTGAAGAAGTTGGCAATGTTTTCTCGCACCTTGTGTTTCTGTGGCTGACATCAGGCAGACCATGTAGAAATAATACAGATTTTCTCATTTAAAATAATTAAAGTGTCAGCCGAATGTGTGGATGAAGTGTCAGGGTTGAAACTGTGTGCTGGAAAAGAATCTTGAGGTGCCATATGTCTGGAGTCAGGGCAGAGAGCTGTAGGCAGGAAGTATTTGCAAGCTATAGATGGATGGATGTTTTTATTCTTTTCTTCATTTTATTCTTAAACTGACAGAAATCATATGTTAATCATGTACAGCATGATGTTTCTCAAACACATGCATAAATTGTGTGATGGCTCCATCAGGCTAATTATCACAAACATTACATCCCAAACTTACTTTTTCAATGGTGAGAACTCTTAAAAATCTGTTTTTTAAAGATTTTCCAAATCTAATACATGTAATTAACTATGCTTCACATCAGAGTGCAGTAGATTCTAGGATGTGTTTCATATTCTTTGACCAGCATCTCTCCCACCCACCTGTGTCACCCTCTGCCAAGCAATATTCTCTTGCTTTCTTTTGTTAGCTCATAGATCCAATGTGCGTGTGTGTGAGATCCTATGATATCCACCCACTCTGTGCTTAGCTAAACTCCCCTAAGATAGGATCGTGTGGGCACATACATGTTTTCTTAAATGTCAAGAAGAGAATATCTGACAAGTCTTAAAATCAGAATATCCCAGATGTAAAATGAATATACAGATCATTCTCTGCCAGTATTTCCCTCTCCTCTTTTTATTTTGAATGAATGACAAGTGTCACTTCGACCTGGGCTGTGTTCATAGACATCCTTTTACTGGATGGTGTAGCTTAGAGCATAGTGCTGTTTATGTTTTCTGAGCAAAGGGGAGAAGCTGTGTTGTTATCATTTTGGAAGGCTGATGTTTGCTTCTCCTCTAGTTTACGCAGCTATGTTCTTCCCTTTCTGTAAAGTGGCCTTGCAAGCCTCTGAGTGGCACTCAGTATGTCCTCCAGATGATGAGGCACAATGGCCAATTGTTAAAGTAGATGGAAAACAATGAGCAACTGAAGATAATGGAAGAGCCTTCCATATAATTCACTGACCTCAAGTCACAAAACGGGCTAATTCTCAAAAGTAAAACAGACTGCTGTTTATCGTTCTATTTAATGGCTAAGTGTCTAGTAAACTGGGTTTGTCCTTCAACTGGAGTTCCGTAAGTATTCAAGGAGGGTGAGCTCGCCAGATGTAAATTCAATTCACCTGTCACTCAAGAAATCAGAAACTTGATTTGAATTTCCTGTTACATGTCTTTTACAATTAAAGAACACACACACACACACACACCCCAGCATTTTAGGATTTGTGATCATGGCCTTTTTGTTTACAGGCATAGTCATAAAGATAGAGATTAAACATCAAGGCTGTAAAAAGTTGATGGATTGTTCTGGGAACATTAACACTGTCTTTCCCCCTCCTTTTCCTTTAGGTCCAGTGGAGCATGTTCACCTTCGAGTTCCATTTGTCGCCATAAGAAACAAGGATGTGAACATCAGTGCAGTTGTGTGGCCCAGTCAAATGGGGACCCTTACCTACTTCTGGTGGTTTGGCAATAGCACAAAGGTTTGGCCCTCTCTCCTCAGTATCAAAGTTGATCTAGATTCCTATGTTCAAGTTTCTCTTAGTTTGCAGGAACTGGATTGTCCCAATAACTGGCACATAGTGACGTTAAGAACACACAGAATTGAACAAAATATGCTTCCTGGGGTAGGTCTTTACCTTAGTAGGGAAACTTCATGTAACTGTTCGAAAGGAAGAGCACTTTGGGAAATGGAACAAATCTGCAGGCTCTTTTTCTTCTATTTCACTTCTGTAAAGAGTCATTGAGTCTGTTTTGCTTTAGTTCCTGGTCTTTCTACTGCTGTGGTGTACAATAGCAGGGCCATTGCTTGGCATCTCTGAGACTGAGAGTTCACATGGGTCAAACACGAGCTAGACACCTAGTTGTCAGGGCAGGAGATAAAGTTGGATGACATGTAAAGAATCCCCATCAACACCTGCCACGTGTTCTGCCAACACAAGTTGCTTTAGGGACAGTGATGAGGTGGCTGTGCCTTAGAGTAAGAAACAAGAAAGATCAACTGTTGGAACTTTGAAAACGGGCCTACACCAAGAGCCGGTTGACAATGATGCTTGTGTCAAGTGCTGATACTCAGAAGTATTAGGCCAAAAGATCATCAATTATGTTAATGTTCTCTTGCTTTATTGGTTTTTAAAAAGCAACATTTAGATTTTAAAAATAGTATGTTTATTTATTAATTTGGGTGCATGCTGCAGGGTGGCATGTTTGGAGGTCAGAGGACAACTTGCAGGAGCCCCTTCCTGCCTTCCACCTGCCGTGTAGATTCCAGCAGTCCAACTCAGTTACCAGGCAGCAAGCTCCTATATCTGCTGAACCATCTCAGAGTCCAGAAACTTAACTTCCAAAGCATTTCATATTTACAGAGAAATTGAGAGCGGCATGCAGAGATTTCTTCTGTTCCCTGTTCCCAGCAATGTACAACCTTCTTCTTTGTAAACACAATACATTTGATATAGTTGGTGAACTTTATATGCAGATCATTATCACCAAGAATATAAAGTTTATATTAGGGTTGGGTTAGAAGTAAACAAATGTAAGAAACCAAGTAGTTGAGTTTTTCCACAATCATCTGTGATTTACTTATTCATCTCTTCCTTCTCCTCAACACCTGCCACTAGTACCTCTAGATTTTTATTTGATAATATCCTACAGTTAGACTTGTTAGTTTGTTTTCTCTACAAGTTGGATTGCTTTTCAGTTAGTAAGATGTATTTAAATAGTTTCCATGTTGTTTCATGATTCATGTCTTGATAGCTCATCTCTTTTTCTTTTTCTTTCTTTTTTCTTTTTGTTTTTATAGACAGGGATTCTTTGATGTCTGTCCTGGAACTAGCTCTAGTAGAGCAGGCTGGCCTCAAACTCACAAAAATCTGCCTGCTCTCCATCCTGAGTGCTGGGATTAAAGGCATTTAATAACAAAGGGCATCAGATTTCTCTGGAGCTGGAGTTACATATGGTTGTGGGCTGATGTGTGGGTGCTAGGAATTTAAACTGGGTCTTTTGAAAGTTCAGTATGTGCCTTTATCTGCTCAGCCTTCTTTAGCCATTGCATCTTTACCTTCCCAACAGTGAAGCACAGCTTCTCTTACTTAATATTCTCCCCAGGTTTGATGGTGTTGGTTTAGACTTTGTCATTCTTCCAGGAATCTAATAGTATCACATGTGAATCTGCATTTACCAGATGACATATTATTTGGAGAATGTGCTCTAAGCCCACTGGCCAGTTTATATTGTGTTTGGTGGATTGTGTATTGTTCCAAAGAGGAAGAGATCTGGTCAGTCATCATCATCAAATTAAACCATGAAGCTCAATATGGACACATTGAACAAAACTGCCGTATACAGGCTGCCCATGCATGCTTCAGCATTGCCAGGGCATAAATTTCATTTATTTTTCATTCTATTCTAAAACCAAGATGCTTACTTGACACTGTTTAATGTTTCTTAGATTTACTCATATATTTTGCATAACAATTCTTGCACCATTTGAAGATATATCCTTCCTGCCTATTTTACTTCTCTTGATAAGGTCTCTTTCAAAGCTTAGACATTGAAATTTAATGAAGTTCATCTTATCAATCGCAGGGTGCTTTGTGACTTCGATATTTATCTACAGAGCCACTGCTGTATACAAGACAATTCAAATTTTATCTTACATGATACTCTAGAGTTTTAAATTTTTTTGTTTTACATTTAAGCTTACAATCCATTTTAGTTCATCTTTGAGAGAAGTAAGGCCTGTGGCAGGGTTCCTTTGCTCCGGCATGCAGCTCTCCTAATGTTGCAACTTAATCTCTTGGAAGCTCTGTCTTTGCTATGTTTTGTTACCCTTCCTTCTCTAGAAAGATCACATGTAACTCTGTGTATTCCTTCTCACGATCTTTTGTCTTCCTTCCCTGTTGCCATGCCGTCTTGCTTGTTGTTAAGTTTGTAGTAAGACTGAGGTGCAGTTTCGTATCAATATTTTGTTGCCTCACATGGGTCTTTTTCTTTTCTATAAAAACTTAGACTGAGTTTGTTGAGATCTAAAAAATTACTTTTTAAAATATTTTTTGGGAGATGTATTATTGATATGTCAACCTGTGGAGATCTAAAACTTTGACAATCGTGAGTCTTCCTCCCCACGGACATGGACCGTCTCTCTGCTCATTTGCTTAGCCCATGGTTTCCTTCAGCAGAATTTCATAGTCATATGCAGATCTTGCAGATATCTTATTAGATTTATGGCTAAGTCTGACATTTCATTTTTAGTAGTGCTGATGCAGATGGCATTGATTTTAATTAAGATTTCACCTGTGCAATACCAGTATCTAATAGAATGACTGACTTATGTATATTCACTCTGAAATTTGAAACCTGGTTATATTGAACTAAGACATCTCAAGAGTTCGTTTGTTGTTAATACTGTTTTGAATATTTTTAAAAAATACTTTTTTGTTGTTGATTCTTTATGGATTTCACGTTGTGCGTCCTGAGTCCTGATCTCATTCATCTACCTATCCCTTCGTATCCTTCCTCTGCCCTTGACAACTCCCTTATTCTTTTAGGGATCCTATGACTTTGACTTTAGATTGTGTGCTTCCCAGGTATTTCACAGTACACTCACATTCGTGCACATGCGCGCTCACACACACACACACACACACATTTGTGCATACACAGTGACTAGGCTCATTTGGAATTGAGATAGTATCTCTTTTCCTTACAACTGTTAGACGAAGATAAAAACCCTTGTAAGTTAGGCTCTAATTTATTTGTTTCTTCTAGGGACAGATTTTTTAATAAACCATAGTACACTGATGTACTTGGAAATTACCCCTTATCCCCCTCGCTGAAAGAAGCACAAAGCACATTTCTCCAGTATTTATGGGAGACCCTGACCAGCTCCTGTCTTTAAAATTTACAAAGCTATGAAGGCCTCCTATGACTCACCGGATCCTCCCTGCAGTTTTAACTATCCTATGTTTGTTTACCGTGAAAATCTATTGTGTCCTTGATGTTGCTTACCCTGGCCAAGATAGTAATTTAAAAATAATACAAGAAACATGCCAAATTTGGATGAGTTGGGCACTGAGAGGTAAAATAAATAACTACTCGGTTATTAGTTTGGAATGATGATGTGATTTCTACCTCTCTCCTCACTCCTGAGACGTAAGGCTGGGAGGTGCCTCCCCCCGATCTGGTATAAAATGACAGGCATAATACAGCAGAGGGTGCATGGACCCGGGACTGAGAGTCCTGAGTTACGTTGCCAGAATGGCTGTGTTTCAGGTAATCCTGGATGTTTGACCTTGGTCAGGTTGTTTGTCCTAAGCTGCCATTCACTGACTCTCTCATCTTGCATATTGTAAAAAGTAAGATGGTGCACATTTAAATATCACTGCTACATGGTCAGCAACTGATGCATTGCTGTTTATCCTTGAAATACATCTATTAAAAATGATGGTAAAAGAAAAGATTCATGGACCCAGGGGACTTTCAGTTTGTACTATTTCTGCCTCGCAGCTTTAATTTAACTTTGCAGTATGAGTGACTAACCCTTTTGCATTTCTGGATTTTTTTCAGAGTGGCAACAGATAGTCAGGTCTATATTTGCTACAGTAGGAAGCCTCTCACAGTGTATAGCCAGCATCCCAAGTTGAAACACTTGATTAGTTGAAGAAACAACCTCAGACTCAGGAGCCCTAAATCCATGAAGCCTATGCCATTACTCAGCACAAGAATGCTGCATTACTGGGAATGTTTATCCCCTTAGCGTTACTGAGCAGTCATTTTTCTTTAAAAATCATGCGATATAAAAAGAAAAGAGGAATGAGAAAATCACTGGGGGAAAAGTTTATTTTTCCCCTGAGAGTGTAAGAGTTTGGCTTCTATTTGGGACATTTTTTTTCTATTAATGTACATTTGCTTTATCATCTTTAGTGAGAAACCACTGTATATAATGAGGCCAATTCTTGGATGGGTCTCAGCATAGAAATTTACTTGGCAGACAATGGGAAGCTAAAGATGCAAATGCAAATGTCTTTGTGGTGCCTATTTTCTCTTGAGTGCTGATTCTAAAATATGAAGTGCCTAATAATGGTCTCTATGTATTTGATTCAAAGTAACTAATGAATGGAAAAAAATTGAAGACTCTAGTTTTGATTTCCCTGATAATTATATGTTAGCTTGAGTTATTGAGTCTTTTTGTCTGTAATCAGGGAACTAGCATTTAACATCATGGAGTTATGCATTAAAGTCTCTCTCACACATACAGATGTTATGACATATTATGAGGATTTTAAGTGCATATTGACAATGTAGTTTCAATTTTTTAATTGATTACTGGAGGTATTCCTTTTGATAAGAAATTCCCATCCAGAGGCTTAAAAATGGAGTGCAGTGTACAGTCCTCCCATGACACAGAGGTTAATACCAGTTGATATTTGTTTCCAAAGAACAAAGCTAGCAATACCTGAAAGCCAAAAGTATAAAATAATTT